GGGGAACCAATAACAAGTCTCTAGTACCATCTTCAAAATATGACCGAAAAATCATAACTTTAACTTGTCTTACTTCCATGTATTTCATTTTGTCTGAATGATTTAAAGGTCTTTAATTTGAACATCTAGAACATGCTTGTGCAAAAAAATGGGCCAAAAGGAGTTCCTTTCAATTGTGCCTGCCTGGTTAATGTACTCACCTGTTACCGGACTGGATTTAGTACACTGTTTGGTTAGGTTTAATAAATTTTAATTAACAATGTAAAATGAAGTGTCTTCCGTACGTGATTTGCTTGATAGGGTTCCGCCTCCAAATTCAAACGTATGGCAATTTAGGTCAAGAGTTGGTGGATCGAATGGTTCAGTGGACAGCTTCCACAAATAATGAGATTGTCAAGCCACAAACATGAAGGTAGTATTACAAAATCACGCGCGGTTGCCCAACAAGATAGCCTTACAAGGTCAAAGTTATCCGATGAAAAGTGTTGCGCAAAGTTTGAGAAACAAGTACATCTTTGAATGTCAGTAAGAGATTTCAAACATATGATAGCGAACTTGATGCAGAAGAAGGACTGCAAAAAGGACATAACTCAGATATACCTCATAGTAGGAAGTCCCAGCAACGTGGGCGAAGATTTGATTTCCAGGTTGCTATGTAAGAGTAATGACATCATATAAAGTTTAGAAATGGTTAAATCTACAGGCATATTGCAACTATTGTATCGACTAATAAATTAAGAGTACTTTTAATGAGCCACAAATTAACTCTTCTTCAAACGACGTGCGATTGTGACTAGCATGATAGACAAAACTCAATCGGAAAATATTAAACAGTGAATACGCCTCCAATTTTGCCCCTTCAATGGTTAGGATACCGCTAGAGGCTATGGTAAGGTCGGGAGGAATTGAAGCTATCAAAGGGGTACATGTGAGCACCTAGAAGTGCAACATCAGACATAACACCTAATGCTTAATGCGAAGTATCTGGTTCCCCTACTAAATGAGTTATAAGTAGAGAGATGAAGAACCTGGAGAATGGTGAGAGTCATATTGAAGTGATGATGCTCGAGAATAGACGTCGAGTAGAGGGTGGCCAATGGCGTGCCCTTTTTGCGTTGATAGCTGTTGTCTGTACCTCGATGGTCAAGATCGTGGCAGAGAGCAGCGATGAGGATGCACAGTTTCTAGATTGAAGAGAACCAGATTATTTCAACAGAAAAACTCACTTCAACTTGAGTGAATTTACAGTCTTCCCGTTTGATTTCAACGTAAGCACCATGAGCTACCGAGAATCCATGGAACCAATTATGGTAAATCACGTCACGGTAGTTCTTCCGTACGGTTAGTGTAAATCGAATGAGGGTCTGGAGATCAATCCTGGATGAACATGGCAAAGTGAATGCAGACAATTCAATGCCATTTTAAGACAATTACCACCTCAGTAACATAAATGCGAATTGAATCTGTGCTCCCCTCCTTTTCACAGATAATACCCTAATATTCTTTCCGTAAATGTGAGCATTCATACAAATAATTTGATTTTAAATGGGCAAAGTTTCCTCCCCTTATGGCTAGAAGCGTAGCTGAGGAAATAAAGCTGCAAGCATTATATATGCCAATTGCAAGAATTATAAGTTATTATGGCGTTAAAGCTTCTCCGTAATGGAGTAGTTCTTAAATGGGAAGGTGACGATTTGACCTTATTGTAGTCTAGAGTTCAAAAGTCGGAAAAGTTCAAGCACCCTAAAATCCCAAAGTTCTAAGCATTAGCAAGCAGCTGGTCACGAGCTCGCCAAATGCAGAATTTAAATTTAAAATTGAGAAGGTTCACGATTTATAAAAAAGATAGAGGATTGCAAAAGCACCTACACAGATTTACCGACAACATCGTGAACCATGTAAATAAAGACTGCTGGCATTTCTTCGTCAGGCATATGCCATGGAGAGAACAATGGTCTAGAAGTAAATGAAACAAAATTCAGTCAATGTCCAATTGGAGTAATGGTTCGATTGGATTGAGGATCATGGAATTCACCAATGCCAAAAGATATGCGGTTCAATGAAATGCCCGACTAGGTAAGTTTTCCTCCAATTACTCACTCCGTGATTCCAGGAATGCTGTCGGGTATTTCATGTGCAGAGTACTCCACAACGTCATTATCTGAGGCGAGGTTATGATGAAGCATAATTTCCATGGTTATTCGACACTTTTGTTCTGAGCGAAACATTTTTTCGTACATCTTGAAAATAGGGTTAAATTTTCGATATGAGTAATAGCACAGAGTAAAATGTTCACTGCATGAATTGCTTCCTATTAAGATTTCATTCAACCTGTTGACTTTTGACTAACTAAAGCAGACCTGTGTTTAAGCCAATGTAATAGTTTTTACGTAAACCCAACTATTCAAGTTAATAGTTTTGAAGGCGACAAGCCACAAGCATTGATATAACAGACTTTTGAAATATAAAGCACGAGTCCACAGAAGACTGAAAAGTCTTCGAGGTTTTCCACATCGTTAGTGTCAAATTCACCGGGAGTTTTGTTGAAAAGCTGTAGCACAGCTACTACTCTACAACAGAGAAACCACAACGGAAGTTTGATCAGGAATGCCGAACGCTCTAGGGATAACTTATTTAAAAGGCTAATTTGACACAGGAAGGCTGAAACGATCGTATAACTTAGTTTCTAAAGTTTCGTAGTTTCATCAAACAAAAGACTGGTATGAAGAGCAAGTGAGGGGATCGTCATACTATGTTTGAAGAATAATTCACGAGACAGAAAAGAGTGAATTGAATTTTTAGCTAACGATAACGATAAAAATGTGAATGACTAAACTGAGGTAGTTTGACTCTTAGTATCAAAACATAGACCTGGTGGTCGTAGTAAAAAGATACTAGTTCAACCTACTCATTTCGGACTTTTATTGGAACGGTAGCTGCGTTGAGGATACGAAATTCTTCGGTAAAAATTCCTTCGCGGTAGTAAAACGCATCAGTTGGCTGAGGAGCGTTGCTCACCACACACTCGCCCGTACGCACCGCATGACTAAGTACTCCAGCGCTTAGAGAAACTCTAATCGGTTCCACATTTACGAAATTGGTTTTATTAAGATCACCGTGATCAACAGTGGTGGAAATAAGTTCCTGCTTCTCCAGATCAACCAGAAAAAGAATGCACTTTTCCGCTTGAACTATTTGCTTCCCATAGGTCTAAAACGAGCCAAATTATTATCCACATTCTGCTAGAACTAAGCACAACTCTATCAGATGTTTGAAACATTGGAATTACAAAACAATTAACAGGGAAAAGAAAACCTGTTGAGAGCACCACAAATGAAACTTGCCATGATTATGTTCATTACAACATCCATCTCCCCAATTCGAGAAAGCATAATTCTAAACACGAATAATGTTAAAAAATGAGTCGGACGCCAAAATGAGATGCACCAAATTAGACTACCTCACCCTGCCATCTTTTTACTGAGGATGCTGTACGCTGTAATGGAGTGTTCAACATTGACTTTCTGAAACGCGTACAATGAAACAGCGAGGAATCGGCGCAGAAAGTGGCAACTGAAAATAAACCTACTTGTTACCTCTTTAAGTAGCAATAACGTTTGCATCGATAGGAGAGTAGAGTAGATTAGCTACAGGGAGGGAGGAGTAGTGATAACAAATGTACAAGCACTTGTCACAGACCCAAAAGATTTGTGACAATTTCACAAAATAGAACGGAAAAAGTACACAAACTAAAGGCAACCTTGACGGTTTTGTCGTCGAAGGGAGGTTGGCCCTTTATTCGGAGTAATTCAATAACCGCTTTGGATGGAAAATACACATCGTAACAGTTAGACAAATAAATACTTGACATTAATTTTCGTTATACAACTAAAGTTGATTGGAAAATATTGCAGCTGAAAGTAAAAACAAAGGAAACTAACCGAACACATTTCCATTGATTGAGAAGAGGGGATATGCGAGAGAGTGCTTAGTGTTGACGTCGTAGAACAGTTTATCTCTCTCCCATCTGGCGTCCTAAAATGAAATCATCAAACTTGCATTTCGCGTGATGTAAGCAACTAAGTCAATTCGGAATTGGGTTACTCTACTTCGTGGTAATTTAGACAATAATTGAAGTCAATTATATTGACTACAAGGCAACCACGAGGCTAAATTAAACATTGCTCGTCCCTACATAGGTTGAGCCACTGCTGGAGCTAGCTTCATACGAGTGCATTGAACAAACCGCTTTGACAGATCATAGGAGATGGTGGAACAGAAAATAGGTTTTTACGAGGAACGCACCCGCATAACGAAGTTGGCAACAATCATATTGCCAGACCAAAAGGCCGCAGTAAATGGAGTACAGAAAGTGCTCGTTTGAGATGGAAGTTGGTATGCGAATTGACTAAAATTATTTCACACATGTAGTATGAAAAGAAGAGGTGACAAGTGTACAACTGAGGCATTAAGCTAGAATGAACAAAAGATGCACTAGAGAAATTGTCATACTAACAAAACCAAAATGCACTCTTTGTGTCATAAGTTCTAGCAGTAAAATGATAGCTGTAGCATAAAAGCTTACTCTGTGCTCTTCCATTGAGCATTTTTATCCTACAAAAAACTAGGGTTACTGATAAAATGAGTGATTGACCCCATAAATTCTTTTGGAAATTGCATTAAATATGCTATCAGCGAAGGATCGACTGTTAACCACATACGAACCCCGAACAAGTGCTCTTGAGTAGATGAACTTCATTGTCCTTCCCGCGTAAATGTAAGTGAATGAGATCTACATCTGCGTCTAGAGGAAAAAAGAATGCACACAATGAACACGGGGATCTTAGAAGAAAGATCAAGCTAATGAGCTGTCGTGTGTCATTCTTGCATCCAGTTTGTGTTGGTGCGTAGATAGGGTATTTACGAACACATCTAATGTCTTATAATGATTTTATCAGTAGCTCAGAATAATTGGGAATTCATTCAGGCACGTATGTTTATGAATACGAGTTACTTGTATTTGTGATTGTGTGACGTATCCCTCGCCCTTTAGCTCTAATGTGCATTGATAATATGAAAAGCCTAGGACAATGTTCTTTGTAGATACTTTAGAGATAACTTGAGCACTATATTAGAAGCAATGTCAACAAACTCACTGGGGAAGAAAAATCATACCACGAATAATTAAAAAAATACTGCAGTAAAGTTCCTTAACAGTAATATGCCTGCTGCAGATGACTTAGTTAGTAAAGGTTATGTTTGGAACGTAGTCTTAAAGAGACTCGCTTTGAGTGAGTAGAAATGATGGGAAGTTGTTTATAAGAATGACAGCACCATACTGATTTACAAAAGCTTGAAGACAATTCATAAACATCTAGGTAACAAGACAATAAAATTGAACAGATTATTTTGCGTTGAATGCAAGCTGAGCTTAGACAAATTTCCCAAAAGTTCATCTCACTATTAAAACAATTTTTAGCAGGAAACAATTCTATTGGGATGCTTTGCGATGGTTGAAGTGAAAGGATGACTACTGAGAGTGCAAAGGATTAAACATCGTCAACGCAGTTGGATAGAGAAGCCCGCAGTTATGCCAACATCGGAGCACGCGCTGTCATCCCAAAAGGTCTCTTGAAACAATCGGGAGACCGCGCACATATTAACAAGTTTAGTTGTGAATAATGACGCAGAAAAGGAGAGACGACAGTCAAAATGCTTTTCAGGAAATAGCATTGTGTTTCTACTCACGTTCGGTGAGGACGGAAGTAGATGAATGAATGATTTCGTGCCGGGAGAACTGGCGCTTAATGATGCGCTCTATGAGGTGCCTTACACTGTCAGGCAGATGGGATCTGCTATCCAAATCTAGTGAATTCAAGCTCTCTTTCGATATTCTGCTTGGCCACTTCTTTGAAGCAGTCGAAAGGTGAGAGATCGTCGCTGTGGACAATTCACTGCGTGCCACAGAGGAGGCCAAACGAACACCCTTTCCAAGGTTGTATGGATGTGCCTTCTCAAAAGAGTAGCCTAAAGGAAAAGGTAACTGAACAAAGACCTCAAACCTAGTAAGTCCTTTCATCATAGCTTATTCATTATGTCTTTAAGGTCGTCATTTCTTGAGCTTGGATGCTAGAGTATTTCATCATTCAAGCTTCAACGCTTTCAAGACAAATTAAAGCCATGCAACGAGTTGAACAAACCTGATAATGGTTCCTCCTCAGCCAATTGCAGATTCTTCAGAAAACTAGGCAGTTCGGAGGCATTCGAGAAGACGCGGCCAAAGCTGCAGTTTTCAGATCGCTTCTTGACTTTTCCGTGTGGTTTTTTGGGTGTGAAAGACTCAATGACTTCTTCATAGTTTTCCTCCAGCACACTAGGAAGATTAAGCTGGTTCACGAAGAATCCCATTGATTGAGAGCTATCCCTATTGGTCTTGCAACCAGAATTGGTAGAATCATAACTCGTCCTATGATGCCTCATAGCCATGGCCGCCCTATTGACAGCTGGTGATAATTTTGGTGTAAGATGGTCGATTATTATGGTTCTCATGGGTCGCCTGATGGACTCGTGGGAAACTAGAACAAGGACATAGTTATTTCAAATAGAAGTGATTTCGAGAACATAAGTAGAGCTTTTCATGGTGAAAAAGTGAGTCGGTTATTAATATCACAGAAAATCAAAAAGAATATTTACACATATGCGAAGAATATTAGTACATCTAAGTATACAATAACTTCCTCGATCGCGTACATTAAGTAAAGGCGAAATTGCAGACTGAATAAGTAAGAGACTTTACTCACTGAGTTTAGCGTAGCCTATTACACACTACCTAATGTGCATGAAAAATTATGCATCAATATTAATGACCAGGAACATAACGATTCAGTTTCAAGGTTATCTCACCAAAAACGCGACAGGATTTCACCATTGTCCCATGATACTTAAAGTTTGGGAAAACAGAAGAATGAATTTACAGAGACGATGTGCAGAATAAGGGATGACGTGAATAAGAATGAATTCCACCGCTTTAGAGCCAGCGGGAATTTCAAAGCGACATATCATATAGGCACAATAATGAGCAAGGAAGAAATAGTTTTTCAGAGCTTGCACTACCCCATCAAAACGAAATTAGATTCAATGGTTGAAAAATTCAAGGCCCATTGTTAATATCACAAAACGATGTACCAAAAAATGTAGAAGACTCGAAAATAATTAGAAAAATTAGAAAGTAAGAAGGTTTTCACAAACTCAATAAGGAAAACATATGATCGCGTGTAGTTGCTGTGGAGGAGACGAAAAAAGTGCACAACCTTTGCAATGATTGACCTACAAAAATCTTCATCACTTGAGCCAAAACTGATTTGAGACATGCTCGAACACTTCAAAATATCCTTTTTTAATAGTGTTAGTAGTTTCAATTTCATTGAAATGTTGAGATTTGTAAGAGCGAACTCCGCGAGCAGATCTGGATTTTCGATGAAAAACGAGGAGGCCTGAGCAAACGTCACCATCATTCAAAAGCTATTTAATGTAAAGTAAACAGACGTTAACGTAACACAAAATGTGAGAAACTAGATTTAGAAGTTTTACCTAAGCGGCCCAACTTACTAGAACGATATCAAGATCAACACAGAAGGACATAGAAGAGTACAATCGTATCTGGTACGAATTGCGATTTGGAAATTTTTATCAGCGAAAACCACTGCGATTTAGCAGAGTAAGTTGGCCCAATTTATGTCGCTATCACGCATTTGCAAAAGGTGCAACACCGATAACAAAACGTAGCACATTCAATGCGCTCTATTGACTGAATAAACTGACTTAAAAATGTCTCAGAAAGCCTAAAGAATAATATTTCAGCTTGCTCAGCTTGTAAATCTACTCTACAGGGCATTAATAATGCAAGTTGATCAAATAAATGAACATTTTCAGTTTAAAGTACCGCTAGGACATCGAGCTCCCAGGATTTGCTCGTCGACCTTGAAAGTGTATGCTAGTTTAAAGAGGGTGAATGCAAATCTTGCATTAATTTAGATGTAATAAGTGTAATTATACGGTTTTATATAATTGGGTAATGAAGGTAGATAAGCTACAGTAATGAAGCCATGAATGAAGCGATGATTTTGACAACAGCTCCCCATTTGTTGGTAATCAAAAAGTATCAGTATTGAGTGGAGAAACTTATTTCCATGGTTCTTTGCTGATATGGTCACCCGTGTTACCGCCGACCCCTTGGTACTTTTCCTTGTTCTTGTACTCACGAGGTGGAGTTCGAACCGACCCAAAATCTGATCCCTCCATTTCCCTTCTGATTACATTCACCAAGTTCCACTTAGTACCTTCTCTTACCTATAAATGGCCTCGAGATTCCATGCTAGTGGAAGTTGTAATCTAACACTTCTATCCTAATGCCCAACTTCAGTTATGTGCTTCTGCGGTGTGAAGTAGATGCCATAATTCGCTCTGGGATTGTAGCGTCCCGAGACTTCCCACCAGAGAGAAGAAGGCAGCAAGTGAGGCTGAATGCATGTATTCCAAGGGAACTGAGCAAATGGACCCGAGCATGGCCCAAAGGCCAGCCTACGTGTGCAAGGGTCAGATGAATCCTGAAGTGACCGCCAAACGTCAGGTAGTCACATAAAGCGACTAGGCTTGAGCATGGCCCGAAGACCGGCCTACACATACAAGGGCCATACGGATCTTGAAGTAGCCGCCAAAAGTCAGGTGGTCACATAAACAAAACAATACAGGGATTCATGAAATTATTCTAAACAAGAAAGTTAGTAATGTGTTACTGGCGAGCCATTAACTACTGAGGCGACATCGCCGCAAGCTATCTGAAAGTGTAACCTTTTCTATTTCCCACTAATTAATTCGCGTACGGAGGTTGGAGATGACGCTACATCGAATCTTCTTCAATAAGGGAATTTACTTGGCCACGCTTTTGTTGCGCATTTGGCCCAGGCCATTCCCCGGGTGCATCTCCAAGTGGTTAGCATAAGTATGTAGCCCTGATTTCTGTCCTCAAGCCGACTGTATCTTGAGACGCAGTTAAAGCTACTTAGAAAACCAGTGTAGCGTGCCGAGACTTCCAATAGGGTGGGAGAAGGCAGTAATCGAAGCTGGATACGTGTATTCCAAAGAGTGCAAAGCAACTGGACCTGAGCGTGTCTCCAAAGGGGAGAGATAATGGGATTGTAGCATCCCGAGGCATTAGGCGGACCTAACATATCTATTTTAGAGAGAGCAAAGAGATCAAACCTCAGCTTGGCCCTAAGGAGATTCCACGTACACAAGGATCAGACGAACCTTAAAGCAACCGTCAGACATCAGGCGGTCATATTTTGACGATGCGACTGTAGGAACTGCCTGCATACCCTCATGCCCTTGAATCTCGAACTTTAATAGAGGTTTGGTTGCAGTAGATTTATTAGGCATTAAATACAGGAAGAACGGAGATAGGAGTACAAATGAGCCAAATGTCAGATATCACCCGAAGAAGGATTCCTCACAGTCCTCACGCACCAGACTCGCTCCCCGCCTCTCCTCTGTAAAGGTTCACCTAAACACTAGTAGTATATTACACAACCCCCCTCCCTCCGATGGCCAGTAGTTCCGTCAGGCGGCTTCCTTCTTTCCGCCAATGTACAAACTTCGTCTTCGTAACCTACTGGGAGCGGATCCGTATATGGCCTAATTTTGTTGATGTACTATTAGAGGCATAGTAACGATTTTAGCGTACAGAATGAGATCATTCGTGGGCGACAGGACTTTGATCATCCGATTGGATTTCTTGTCGCAGGAGTGGTAAAATTCCCGATGGGTTCCTAGCAGGGGAATTGGTCTACATAATTGCACCAAGTCGCCCTCTTTAAAGAATCTTGCCTAGCGTATGCTTTCTTCAGCTGTCTGCGCGCGGTATCAAACACTTCCATGAGGCTTTCTTTAGTCGCAAGACATACTGAGGCGCGTTATCCACTGACAGTTTCTTACGGAGGAGCGGAATGTCAGAAGAGGTTCCCATCTCACGGCCTATGAGCATCCTGAATGGTGAGACTCGAAGCCAGCTGTTTAGCGACTAAACGCATGTGCTTGTCTAATACGGAAATACACCGATAACGAAATTGAATGAAACCCTCTACTTCCCTCGGATACTTACACCAACAATCGGAAGCGAAGGCAGTGTTTTGTGCACTGCACTCCGCGCCCAAAAGAAAAAATCAAAGTTCATCGAATGGAAGAGACATGTAGTTAAGGGTGGAAGGAACGGGAAAGATTCGTGGGGAAGAAGCACCAAGACAGAACACCATACACTGAAGGAAATTAGCATAAGCGCAGGTGCGCACACACAGCTACGCTGATAACAGAATGAAAGAGTAAGCAGGGTGTGTAGAAGGGCACACTGCCTTAGTCAATCTTAATAGCGGCGTAAATCTTTTGCAAGAAGGTGAAGGCCGAGAAGAAGCCGATTGTGCCTGTGAGGATCCAAAACGTCGCTGTGAGAATGGAACAGTAACCGAAGTAAAGCAGGGTTGAGACAAAACTTGTGATCTCCAACTGAAATAAGTAAGCAAGAAAAAAACGGACAAATGAATCAGACGAAGAATTTGATACAGACACAAAGATACTAAACGCACTCGAGTTGCAAAGTAGTAGATGGAGTAGAGGAATAGGTACACCGCTGCTCCGCCGGAGGTGATAAACGATCTCCACCACCAGTGATAGTCCTTAAGAGAACAGCAGAACTGGATGCAGATAGTTGAGAATGTCAAACCAATGAAGTGAAAGATTCAATGACATTGCGTGTCAAATTGTTTGGATAAGTTGAAAAGAAACAAATCATTCAGTGGAGAAGTGTTAACTATATGATAATTTGAAATGACTTAAACAAGATTTTAACGATGCCACATTAAAGAAACCAAGCGTGCTACCTAAAGTGTATCGCATGAAAGTTGAGCGGTTTTACTAAAATGAGTGAAAATCACCAACGACAGAGGGCTTTCAGTGAAGATTTGATACGTTTTTATGACAAAAGTTGGGGAACAGTGTATGACTCACTTCACTGCATAATTGGAAGTAGGTCGTCACAACAGCAACCTGGGCACAACTGATGATGAGAATGACGAAGACAATAAATAGAAATCCAAAGAGGTAGTAGATTTGCCGGTTCCAAAGAGCCTAGAGGATAGGAAACGGGACAATTAATGGCTCTTGATAGAATAGCAGCGGATGGGCATGAGTTTATACCAGCGAAGAGTGCTGGAAAAGATTGTGCTTTGACATTCAAAAAAAAAAAATCTAAACGCCCGCACGTATAATGCAATACATCAGCAGCGAAGTGTAAGATAACTACCAACTTACGTTGAAAATGAAGAACAACTCGATAAAAACACTACCGAATGGCAAAAGTCCACACAGCATAGTTCTAAAAGTGAAAAACTTTGAATTGGCCACGATTACTTACATCAAAACGAGTATATTCCATCAGACAAGGTACTCGAATAAGCATTATAGTATTCATAACGATCGTTGAACAAAGTTCCAAATATGAAATTTCTTTGCCAAAGAGCCCTAATGCATCGTTCCTCATTAGTGGGGACAGATGCTTTCTGCAGGCTGACTGCCAAAGAAACACAGACGTAATCCTGATCACCCCAATATTCATCTCCCGTTTTTCAACCATTTATTGCACACGAATACTTCGAGCCAAAGGGAATATAAATAATTACCACTAGAAATAGCAATATGGAACCACAGAATAAATAATTCATAATCCCAAGTAGACGCCTCGCGAAACCAGATCGTGGCAATTCAGCCCAAATAATTATTTCCGGATGCTTCTGATGGAAAAGGGGTAAAGGGTTTGTTGAGATCCGCTTGGTAACTGCTTGTAGTTTGGAAGGAAATGCCTAGCAAACAAATTCATGTGGGGTCCACCGCCACCATCACGGACAAGGGAAGAATCGTTTTCTGAGGACGAAAAATTGGCCATCCCGTGGGCGATGCAAAAGTGAGTTCTGAACACATCATTCGACCAGCAGAGCAGACTGGAGCACTATCAAATGCATTGCAAGATACAGAGCTACTCCATTCACTCCAATAAAGAAGACACTGCAAGGCTACGCATTGGTCAGTGAAAGGGGTTGGAAGTCTGTTGTCAAAGTTGGACTGCTACAAGCGGAACTTTAATGCACCTTGCATTCGATATAGGGCAAGGAATTGGGTTGAATTCCCAAGTAGTTCGCAAGGCTCCGAGTTTAAATGGAGATGAGCATGTGATGGAAAAGAAATCCCACATCATAAAATTGTGCAGAACGAGTGATGAGCAGTTTGCCAGATTTGAAGCAAAAAAGGGCTGGAGGGAGTTTGGTACCAAAGAAAGCTTACGTAACGAAGATATTCTGGTGCATCTTGCGATCAGGAATGGCACGAGGAATCTGATTTGTGCGTACTGGTTGCTCATAGGGACGTTTTCGCATCCCAAAGAAAAATCCTATGAAGATGAGGGGAAGAGATACGAGGAGCCAGAGAGAGAGTATACCAAGAATTGTAGTGAAAGGTAGGGCTGCTGAAGATCCCTTTGCCCAAAGGAAGATGTTGATGAAGAGACACACCGCCAGAATTATGCCTGGATAAAGCAAACCGGTCTAAAGGAAGACCAGAAAAGTTAACTAACAGGTTCCGCAACACTTGCTGAAAAGCCAAAAATGCTCTAAAAAGGAGAATAAGTGATCGGAAAAAAAATGAACCATCGATGTTGAAGAACGTTGACTAGTAGTATCGTAACGAAGGGCCAATCTAGCAATCGCTGTTGGCGACTGGTATTTAAAATAACTAATTTCCAGAGAATATAAATTAGACCAAGATATTGATACTAAAAATAAATGCAGAGTTTGAGGAAGCTATTTTAAAAGTTAAGAGCTAGGGTAATCGAGGGACGACCATCATAGGAAATAAGAACTATGCGCTTGAAGTGAAAACCACAGATATTCCTCAGCTGGTTTATCACAACCATCAATAAGGACTTAAAAAATGCGGCAAACGCGTAGACCCGTAGGGTCAACGATGTATCAGGCAGAAGTGGATCATTCAAATTCAGTTCAGGAAATAAGTAGACATCAATAGAGGTGTCCCTGAAGCTTCAGCATGATCATAGAAGTCTAAGCAACAAACAAATCAGCAGTAAATATTAAACAGAACTTAAACAACCGGTAGACAAGGGCTGATGAAAGGATAAAATAAAAAGGTCTAAAGTACCAATAGGGCAGTAGATTTCCAGTAGAAGCCACGCATAGTTTTGTAGATACGACCTGAGAAGTAACCCGCAACGGCTCCCATAAAGACATATGTGAAGACAACGGCACTCAAGAGAGCTCCTCTTGAGGCAGGAGAAAGCATGCCTAGCATTGCGAAGACTGAGGACAAAGAACCGAAAAACCATAGTGAGGAGTACTATCTCACGACTCGAGGTCAAGATCGGGCATGGAAAATAGCGAAGTTATGGTAAATTGCATTGCTCTTCGAAATTAACCTAGGTAAGAGGAGGCAGTCCCACGGCCCCGATGATAAAATTAACAAGGCGAGAAATAGATCAAGCACTTTCATTATATAGACTTACATAGGACGATAAATGTCATGCAAAGAAGTTGGACACCCGAGCCAACAAAAGCTGCCAGCAAAGCACTTCGTCTTGGAGGCCTAAAGACGTCACCATGTACCAGTTTCCACCCCGATTCCTCAATAATCTCCTCCTAAAACACAGACATACCTTGGACGCAAAGTGAAACAAACTTACGGAGTCTTCCTCCCTGTTATAAGAGGCGATATCACGTCGTAAAGTTTTTAGTAATATAACAGCCATAACAGCTAAGGAAAGAAGGTGAGAATGGGAAGGGAAGCTACCAGTGAGGAAAATGATTATGATGATGGAATTGATTATTGAAAACCAATGGATTTGACCATCACCAGTATTGAGGTAAATATCCCAACGTGAGGCCCATTCAGTGTCCGAGCGCACCCATTCGACCCCATAAGTGAAGCCAAATTTCGTCAATATGCCCGGTTTAAGGACCAAAGGCCGTTCTCTATTTGCTATTTTGCACGTCCCGTTTGAACTTTGGGTGACGTCCTCACTTCGAATGCTCATAGGTTCAACGGTAACACCAACAATGCGGTAACGACCACTAGAGCGGGAGGAGAGCACATCGAAAAGTTAGGTTAAGAATGGCTTACTCCACTTCGTGGTATTTTACCAGAAACTTTAAATGGTTATTTAAGTATACTTCATTCTCTTTTTTAAACCCGATTCGATAACCGATTTCATATTGGTTTTGAGTTTCAGTGGAACGCTCTACAGCCACAGGCAGATCGTCCACATCACTATCAATGCTAGAGATGCGATACAATTATCCTACATATTAACGATGTATTCGTTGTCAATGAGATGAATAAGAGCATCAATCTTCTTAGATGAAATCGGCACCGCATGACATGCTTGGCGGCAGTCAACATTTGTTAGCATGTTAATCTTAAATGGGGCCTCGACCACGCGATCGCCACGCAGTACCTCTCCTAAGAATCCCAGATAAGGCAATAGCGAAATGTTACCAATGTTGAGATTCTCATAAAGGCGCCTTCCGTCAAGATCACAAAAGGATAAATAATCGTAAAAGTCGATCGGCAGTTGTGTATCAGAACTCCAAACTTTGACCGCCTACCAACAATATGGAGACGTTTTCATATTACCTTAACGCTTATTGCGTCTCCAACTTCGTACTCAACTGGTGACAAACCAGGAACGTAAAAGCAAAAAGAAAGCGGAACTACAAATGCGAACAAAACCGCAAGCGATATCATGGCTACATCTACCAAACCGACTACACCAGAATGCATCCTCAATTTGGACCAATTACAGCGCCGTATTTTCGCATCATTATTATTATTAGCGCTGACAACTCCTTTATTAAATTAAAATATTTTCCAATCTCTGCTCTTATCCTCGACAATGAGCAACTGGTGTTTAACCCCTGTGAAAAGTCCTTAATATAGGCACTTGTAAACTTGATCTTATTTTATTCGCATCAATGTGAAGATTATCAACTTCCGCGCCATTTTGATGTGCTAGTTGAGGGTGCTGTTTGTCATCCGCGTGTTCGCGTCTGAGTGGGCGGGTCCGAATGTTATCCGCTTGACATCTCCTCTAATCAGAACCGGAAAAAGACACTTCTATCATGGAATCGGCCTCGGACTCATCATCAAATTACCTCTCCCCTCATGTCCAAAACATTGCTCTGCTCGTATGTTCCGAATTCGAGCGCCTCATATCGCGGTATGGAGAGGGAGTTGTTGATGGGATTGTGCCCATCATGATTCAAACCCTTGAGCAAGTCGAGCAGTTGCATGAAGCTAACGAACTACTGCAAGCATCTTGGGCTCGGGATGAGCTGCGAGTAGAGTCATTAACTCTTAAATTGGATCGGGAAATCAAAGGTAGACGCGCAGCAGAAGAAGTAATTCCACATACCTAGCTCGTATGTCCACTTTTAGCGTGTGATAGAACTGGAGGATGAAATCGCTGACTTGACGATACGAACGAACAAACAGTCTACCAACTATACTAGGCTTATCCACGTCCTCGAGGCGAAGTGCGCTGCGGCAAGCGACTATAGTGAGAATTTAGTACCATTGGCACTAATTTACTTGTTGATTACCGTTCTCATTCCCTTTTGCAAACCACATCGATTTTTTGTTCGGCTTTACATGTTCTGGTGTTATTTCCGTCACCATTCTCTATCTTCTAAACAAAAGCGGTAAAATGAGCTTGGCTTACAAATAGTTGCTCTGGTGCCTATCAAATTCGTGAGCTCCATTTCGATCCATTTTTAAGCTGCTTTTAGGATGGGTAAACAGAGTGCCTAAGTGGGGTTATGCTTTGTCTTAGTCACTCGACAGGAGGCTAAAGAGGCTGAGCTACGTCTTGATTTGACCAACGCACAGAATCGCTTTAATGAGCTTCTTCGCTCTCGCGTGGCTCATGTTGAGCGTGTCCGCAATCATGTGAACTCCATCTTGACTGAAAGATCCTCCATATCTGAGTGCCACCGCCTCGTACGTTGTCTTTTGCTCCCATTCATCCATTCATAAATCCTCGCATCATTTCATTTCAATGCTTATGACATGCCTGGTGAAAAAATACATATCCAGATTGAAGTGTTTTTTATGAGTTCTTGACGAGAACTACAATTTGACCTCATCCTTTTTCGTGTACGCTAGGAACAATTTGGTTTTCTGTGAACACTGGGTTGGTTCGTTAATTACTTTGAATTTAATCCCAACAGGAATACAGTTACTCTTCTTTTTTATTTCAATAGACTTCAACTGGAAGTATAAGCCACCGGGATTCAATATGCCCGACAAAAGGTAATGTCTTAATTTAACGTGATATCCACGATTACCAGTCCTTTTCACAAGAGTTATCTGCTGAGCTGAGGTGTCTTTCCTACTTTCTGGACTTATAAATATCGAAACTCTGTGCCTTAAGTCTTATCGTAACTGCAGCCTATGGTTGAACGCCAATACTGTCGCTATCGGCAAAAAGGCAATGTATAAGGGGTTTCTTTGCTGGCGCAGTTTCGCTTAAACTGATTGTGCGTCACCGTTCCATTCATGTGCCATCTTCGAAAACGTAGAACGCATAGTTTTCATTAACCGCAACCTAATTTAACACTTTTTATCATTCGGATAGGCATTACTCAGCTATCACCACTACCATTGCCGGATAATCGAAATATTGACGCACCTGTTTTTGATGCGCTTGATGAAACGTAAGCACAATGTCTATTTTTTAACGTCTTATTCACCTACTAATCACGGATGGCAATTAGACTACAAAGTGTTGAACAATTGTTTTCCAGTTTAAAGGTGACTGCTGTCTCGCCTTTCTCATGCGTACCAATATTATTCATGCACCATGCATATCTGGGCTGAAGAATCGTTGGTCTTTCCGTCTCCTTTTCATAGGACGGATTATGAGCGCTATCTGGGTGAACAATCTCTAACTAGGATGGTATCTGAGGATTTAGATCTCGTTTCTGAAGGTAAGCGTCCTTTTTTTGTAATTTTGGCCATTTTTCGTTGATGCGAAATTGGTGAATGGAGGTGTGTATTTATAGCCACCATGCATGAAAGTCTTGATTTTGTATAATCGGCTTTACGCATGTGCTTCTCTTGAGTTATTTCCTAATCAAAGCCTTGTCGGGCGTGTGAAATCCCATATGTTATTTTTTCGCACTTTTTGTGCAATAAACGCTACTTTGAATGATCACTTCACGCTTTAGTGTCAGATGGCTGTGACTTTTTGGGCAGTGAATGTAAGCATGTCCCATTCTTTGCTCGTATTGTTCATTTTAGGCTTAACTAACCGCTATCTAACTGTGTGTTTTGCTGCATTAATGCCTACTAGCTGCATGACTAGTGACCAACCTACTGCTGGGTAGTGGCCTTCCTTTTTCTGATTTCAGCTCTCGAAGCAGAGGTGAAGAAACTGTTGATCGAGAACCAGGAGCTTACTGAGATGAAGTAAGTCTCATCTCTTTTCGTAAATTTGTCATAGTCAGAGTGCCAAATAAGTCCACTTAGAGTAAGATGGACTGACTGGGAGGTGAAGTTTAAAGCCCACATTTATGAATACCAGTGCAACTTACGTACGGTATCCGGCATTTGTGATATCTATTCGTCCGGTGACGTTGAAAGTTACGACATGGTTAATACTATTCCACCACAATTACCGACGATTGGAGGTCAGCGAATGACCCTTGCGGGCTTAACTTCAGCGGTGGGTGTTTGATAATCAATTACTTTGATGGGACCGAACACTATTGAATTACGTCGACTGATTTCTTAACCTTAGGCATCAGAAAGGATGTACTGCATCCATTGAATGGTTTAATTTGAGCTGTTGGGTGAACTGAGGGTTCTGAATTGGAGAATTTTATGTCCCAGGAACTGGATGAGTGTTCTTACAAACTTGTTTTCAAACGCCGACTTACCGCGTGTTCGTTTCTGAGGTTTTGTCATTCGAGTTGATAAGTTAAAACGTACGAAACTCGCACAATTGTAGGTTCGCTAAGTTCAAAATCTAGTTGAATTATCATTTGAAGGTAACAAAATGAAGTTTTCATAGGCTAGACTAATGTACTTTTATATAAGGAACCGTGTCTTGTGGAAAATTCCACTATATGCAAGCCTCCCCAATTGGCTTCGAAAGCCCTCTGATATCTACTTGTTGTATAATCTCAAAGCAGGTTTATGATTTTGTTTTTTGAGGGGTTTTGGAATGCCTCTCGTGACCAAGACAACTGCACACAATCAGAGCAAATGCTAAGGCTAAACTAGGGAATGGAAGTTGGCAGGATTTTCCAAGTAATTCAAGAGCATAATTGGTAGACTCAACAATTTACCAGCCTGGAACTGGTTGTTAACGTGGTTCTGCATGTCTTTCCACCTCCATATTAAGATTTGATCATTATATAAGAATACCCTCAAGTACATTTTACTCTAGGCAAGCTCTCAACGTTTTGAAAGATGACCTATTAACTCGCATTGACGATATCTCCGGGTGAGTACGTGACTTAAGGCTTTACAAGCGTTTTTTATAAGCATTCTACATTACTTATTTATTTTACCTGTTTCTAGTTTGCAAGTTCCTAACCGGACCATAAGTTCTTAGGTGGGATATCTTGTTTATGAATTTAATTTATTAATAGGGCTACTCCTTGGTTGGTTATATTATCTGCTTCTCGGTGAAAAGTTGCGTTCTTGCTTTGACTTTTATTTGATATGGGTGATTAGTTCCTTATTTCACCCTTACGGTATCAAAGTGCATGCTACGCGTAAGCGAACAATATTTAAGTAGCTTTTCAGGCGGATAGAATGCAATGCCTACGTTACAGAAAATAAGTAAATCGTAAATGATGCTAAGTTATTGTATGGAAAAATCATATTGTCATTCTGTGAGCATTACTGGTTATATCGTCACAGTCATGTTTAACAAGCCAAAGCTGTTGTTGTCAAAGTAGTTTTGCTGTTGAAGCTGCAATAAATGGACAGCTACTGCGGTGTCTGAGGCTAGTACGGGGCGTAGGGGCATGAAAGTAACTGCATTGTAGAAACAGCGAGGTTGAGGGATTATGAGTGTCAGCAAGAGGAATAGGGAATTTCACTATCGTCGAGACCGGCTCACGAGAAAACAATGGTGATCACTTTAACCACTGTGCGAATGTTCATGCTGTTTATCCCTACGTTACGACCGACACTTTTTTACTTTAGGTAGGCACAAAGATTAGTGTATGGGTGACGCAATGGATACTTTCAACTTTGATGTTGCAATGTGTTGTAAAGTTGGATAAGGTTTCAAAAGCTATATCTCATCGGAATATTCACATTAAAAGGAGGCAAGTCAAGGCATTAGGCCTCCGAGTAGATGTCATGCATTCTGTGTTTGTAACAAAATTGTAAGCATGGTTACTCCAGTGGAATTTAGTCTGACATAGGCTTTGTTGAGTGTCAATAGACGCTTGCATTCTCTGCCGATTTGGTTTGATACTAATTCAGTAAAAGCGAGGCCATTATTTCCACCGGCACCAGGATGGTGCCCGTTATAATTGAAGGTCATAAGACGTGGGTATGCGCCTTGATTCTCACTTGCAGCCTGGATGTCTTCTTAAGTCACACAAAATGGTTTGCAAGTCAGTGACTCCATTTGATCGCTTCTGAACTCAACGAAAGTCTCATTCATTGCTTTATCAGGGAAAACCAAATTCTCAAAAGCGACCTTAAAACATGTCAAGAGGAGTTGGCGGCAGAGCGTCAACGGGCGAGAAATCGGGAGCATCAGCTTGTTGAGCGTGTCCAGCGCCTTACCAGCAAGCTGCGAGCCATGGAGTTGCATGAGGGAGGAAGCCGTAGCGCTCTCACCAGATGCGCTTCCTTAGATCTAGGTGGCAAACCCTCAACCATTCAAGCATCAGGGCGGAGGCGGATTCACAGCTGCTCTGCTGCCCTACCGACAATAAAGTCTAAGCCACAGCAACAACAAAGACAAGACTCCAAGGTGAGACTTAAGTGACCATCCTCTGATAGCATCAGCCTTGTAATACTCTGTAAATGCGCGTCTTAGAGAGCGCCGTTAGAACGAGTCGAAAGCACCAACAGAGGGACGCTGAAACTGACCAAGCGCGAGGTTGACCGTGTGCTTATGGAGCGCAATTACTACAAGGAGCGTTATTTAGAGGCAAAGACCAGATTGTGCGCAATTGAGAACCCTTGCCTTGTTCAGCAACCCTTTGCACACATGCGCAAACGCGAAATCGCCTCCGTCCTCGTTTCGAGGATTTTCCAGTCGATGCACAACTTCGCCAGCGACGTGGCACAAGGGTTGGATGGGCTTATCGCTCCAGCGGAAAACTCTACCCCGCCGCCCTCCTCCAGCCGAACTTCAACTGCCCTGTGGAACATGTAGGTTCACTTGGTGTCATTAACGCGCAGATTTTCCCGCAAAAACAAACAAGTGTTCGCCCCGCGTAGACTTGGTAACTTTGTTGGACAGGCCGTGACCTACACTGCTGATGCTGTAATCGGAACTGGAAGTGATCTCCCACTCGATGTCTCGAGGCCAGTCATAACAGCCAACATCAACTCAAGGCTTCCCATTGCTCCGCCACATCCAAGAAACCAGCCATCGCCATAAGAAAACGCATTCAGGACACAAACCACTTTCTTGCTCCCTAGTCTTTCCTAGTTTCCGATGCCACTTCCAGCACGCCCATTACAGAGAAAATTCTCCATATTCACAGTTTCCTTACATTCTACCATCCCAACCAATTATTAAAACGATTTTGGATAAACCAATGAAAATTTATTAAACACCCACTCATTTTCCAATCTCCTTGATTGTAAGATCTAAAAAACGGAGGTAAAGAAGGGCTGCGGAACATACTGGGAGGAAGAGCCTTCTTAATCTTATCAACCTTCTCTTTCTCTGTTACCACCAGGGTGTACAGAAATCGACTGCAACGAATCTTGAACTTGACATTGTCTTTGTTGGTCTTTATTTTGACCGCTTAAGAATCACCTTGGTCAGGGAAAGGAACTTACACTTCGCGTCGGAACGATGAGTTTTCATCAGGAAATCCTTTATACGAGCTACTTGTTTCGGCATCTTCTAAAAGGAAAGAGGACATGGTACATAACAAAAGCCATACTGAGGGCAGCTCCTAGTGGCACCCGCCACCACCTAACGCTGCGATCAAGCTGCCATTTTACACATAATTCCTCTACATTTGCAGGTTCGGGCAACGGATGATCATCACGGCAGCAGATGGCAATTAAATTGGATTTGACCTTACAGGGTAGTTGAGGTTGAAACACCTCAAGAAACAAGGTAATATCAAAGTCTACAGGGTTGGAAGATAAGCACACTTGTTCCAAACATTGTCGCCAAGGGAACACCGATAAATCAGCACGGGAGTAAAACTCAAGCAAACTATGCTCATGAGATTCAACGAGAGCTTTGAAAGCGTCCAACCACGCATTGGCCCAAAACACAGCACCCCCAACGGGAAAAAGTGTGTAGATCATATATACGAGGTCGTTAACTCTATGGAACTTTTGAAACAACCTTAAAACGGATCTCAACGCAGGGGCAACCAAGGAGCGACAGCCATTATCAGCCAGCTTTACCAGGTGACTCGCATATGCTTGGGTAACTGCTATGTGACGAAGTGGGCAGGCAAGAAACTCCTCAATTACACAAAGCGATGAACTCCAGTTGATTTGTTCAAGCGCGCCCAAATTAGGCGTCAACCAGCATTCCTTGCTGTTCAACTCCCAAAATTCCAAAAGCCAGGACATTGCAAAATCATAGGCCTTTTCTAAAGAATCCTCTGAAGGCATAGAACCGTGTGCGATCTCATTTCTCAAGTAAGGCATCCACGGAGGTAGTCCTACATCAGTCGCGAGAGAGCGAATAGGGGTCGCAAACCCACTACGATTGCGATCCTGATTCTCACTAGACACCAAGCTTATGAAACGCATGACTGCCATAGCCAATGCCTGAGTAGACTTTTGAAGCCTTGCTAAGAGTAACTCGTAAGTACATATAATGGCGCGAGGAACTTTGGAATAGTCCACTCGACTTAACCAAATCTGCATAAAAAGCAACGCCTTGTGCAAATCAGCATCATCGGAGGACTTCAGATTAAATAAAACATATCGAAACTCATCGATGGAAAACCAAGGAACCACCCTCTGGTTGACGTACATGACCACCCAGCGTGCACCAGATCTCAATAGCGCCTTTATGTCCACATAGTCTAAAACAAACTGTTGAGGATTTTAAAATTATTACCTTCTTATCTTGCCAAGTCCAAATGATTTTACTTTCAGAAATTAACCATCTAGGCTTATGTTTTTTGACTAAGCTAAAGCATTACAATAATTTTAGGGTAGCAAAATTGTAATTATCTATTTGTTTATGACTTAAGTGCAGACCTGTGTTTTATCTTTTTAGATTATTAGCGCAAAGTATTTTAAAAGTTTAAATTATAGTTAAAGAAGGATGACGTCATGCATAGTACTTTTAAAATTCAGTCGGTAGAAACGTGCATATCGCATCGCATAACTATCTACGCTGGTGCTGTGGCCTTCCAATGTAGCGTCCCGAGGCTTCCCTTGGGATGGAAGAAGGCATAAGTGAGGTTGAATACATGTAGTCCGAAGATGACAGGACTAACGGGGCCTGAGTGTGGCCCGAAGGTCAACCCCTGTGTACAGAGGCCAGACAAACTCTAAAGTGATCGCCAGACGTCATGTGGTTACATAAACAAAGTATTACATTCAAGACTTCCTATCAGTTAGAGGGAAGTATTAAGCCGATTTTAAAGTACTT